CCCCTCGATCGGGCCCGCCCACACCGGGGCCTCCCCCCTCCCGCCCACTGCTTTCTCAACGGCCCCGAGCCGGGGCTGCCCTCATTGCATACATAGTGCGCCTTTCCCTGCTTTTCTAGTGACCTAGCGTTCCGCACTGCCGTTTGGCCAGCCCATGCTCCCGTACCGTTGCGTTTCTCCCCAATGCGCCATGCCACTTTGCCAGTCATACACACGTTTCGATGCGTGCCCTGTCAGCTGCTTGCGTTGCATGTCGCCTTGCTCCACCCCTGTTTTATTGCTTTCTCTGCTTTCGCCCGGTTCCCGTCCCGTTTCGGCGGGGAGTCTATGTTGCAAGCTAGTTCTTGCTTTACCAGACTTTAAGCCCACACAAGCAAGCAAGCAAGCATGTCGCCTTGCTCCACCCCTGTTTTATTGCTTTCTCTGCTTTCGCCCGGTTCCCGTCCCGTTTCGGCGGGGAGTCTATGTTGCAAGCTAGTTCTTGCTTTACCAGACTTTAAGCCCACACAAGCTTGCTCCACCCCTGTTTTATTGCTTTCTCTGCTTTCGCCCGGTTCCCGTCCCGTTTCGGCGGGGAGTCTATGTTGCAAGCTAGTTCTTGCTTTACCAGACTTTAAGCCCACACAAGCAAGCACAAGCAAGAGCACTGGTGAGATTGGACACTGCCCTGAGACTGGCCGGCCCCTCTGCCCCTTCTGGCGGGGGCTCAAAGAAGGCCGGCTGCCACTGGCCGCCAAAGGGCTTGTGGGCTGGCATAACGAAATCGCGGGTTTCATCGGCCCCAGCCGCAGCTTTCGCGGCAGCGTCCGCCTCTTCGTTGCCTGTCACTCCACTGTGGGCTTTCACCTTCAGGATGCGTGTGCGCACCCCATCATTTGCTCGCTCAACGAGTATCTGTGCCGTATTGAGCAGTAGCTCTTTGTGCGGCTCTGCCTCGCTGGCAGAGCGGGGAGTGCGTGCCGCCATTATTTTACGCTGACGACCAGGCCCTGCTGGCCACCACGCCGGCAGGCCTGCGTTTCCAGCTTGGTTACCTTGAGAGCTACTGTGCCGCCTGGGGCCTGTCGGTTAACACCAAAAAGACCCAGGTGGTAGTGTACACCGCTGGCAGGGCTGCTGCCACGGAGGAGCGGTTCCGCTACGGCGGCAATGAGGTGGAAACCGTCCCCACCTTCAGATACCTCGGCGTGCACCTGCACTGCCGGCAGGCCTTTGCCTCGGCGGCATCGCATCGGGCGGAGGCTGGGCGGCGCGCGATGCACCTGCTGCGTCGCCGCCTGGCCGAGAATGGGTTGCAGGACCCCCTGCTCAGCATGCGTGCGTTCAAGTCTTACGTCCTGCCGACGTTGTCGTACGGGGCAGAGATCTGGGCGCCGCAGCTGATTCTGCAGGGCAGGACGGCATGCGAGCAGGTACAGCTGGAGTACCTGCGAGGGCTGCTGGGTGTGCGGGACAGCACCCCAGCCCTCACTGTGCTGGCAGAGACGGGGCAGCTGCCGCTGCCCGCCTACTGGACCTTGCAGGTTGCACGCTTTGTGAGCAACCTGCAGGCTATGGGCGGCGAGCGGGTCGCCCGTCTTGCCATGCTGGATAGCGTTGCGCTGGCTGCCGACACGGACACAGGGCTGCCACTGGCCCGGCAGCCCTGGGCAGCGCAGGTTAGCCGCGTTCTCGCGGCGGCCGGCGCCCCCTGCGACTTGACTGCTGACGAGGGGGTTGCCATACCTGAATTGGTGGAAGCGCTCCTGGAGCGTCATGTTGCC